AAAATAACACCTTCCTAAATCCACGAGATCCTTTCTATATAGGAGCTTTCAACGTCCGTACTCTATGTCAAATGGGCAAACAGGCTATGCTTGCTGAAGCCTTGTACTCCCTTAAAATCGACGTATGCTGTGTCTCCGAAACACGCATACAAGACCCGAGCGTGGTTCTGCATCCCAGAACGCCAAGGATGAACTCAGCTCTTTCACATTCCTGTCTCCGTGTGTCCGGTGACTCAGAAGCGATGACTCGTGGAATATATGGCGTGGGAGTTGCACTCAGCCCCAGGGCTGAACGCGCTTTGCTGGATTGGATCCCAGTGAACAGTCGTCTTTGCGCCATCAGGTTATCCAGTTCAATCAAGCTCGATGCCTCGCGGCATAAAAAGCGGTGCCTGTTTATCGTGTCGGATTATGCCCCAGCGGACTGCAGTTCTGATGCGGAGAAGGATACTTTCTACCGAGAGCTATCCGGGCTCATTCGTCAGGCAAAAAGCACTGACACTGTGATCCTTGCAGGCGATTTGAATGCTCAAATAGGTCGTCTGAACTCCTTGGAATCACATTCGGATGGTCGATTCGGAGTCGATGCTCGCCGCACAGACAACGATGATCGATTCCTTCAGTTGTGTGCTGACCACGTACTGTTTCTGACAAGTACAAACTTTCAACATAAACGTTCGCACCGCGTAACCTGGCGGCCGCCAACTACAAATCAACCGTGGACCCAGTTGGACCACGTGGCCATCAGTCACCGATGGAGAGCCACAATTCAAGACTGCCGTTCCTTCTGGGGCACACCACTTGATTCCGATCACCCCATGGTGCGCGCACGCTTGACAGTTCGTTTCCCTTCCGGCCCTCGCAAGTCGGCAAGAAGCATGCCAATTCACCAGCCTCGAAGAATTGCCATAGTTCAACGGTATCGATCTCCCAACAGTAAAACAATACTGCGGTGGAAGTGAGTATATGGATGAAGCGTGGCAAAATATGAAAGGAGTTATGCTAGCGGCGTCAGTGCTGCCTGCCCGACTTCTCCAATTCGACCACAGGACCACTGGATGTTGTCGAGGTCGCTATCCATGACTGATGCGAGGAAAGCCATACCAGCGGGCAACGAGTACGACGGTGCAAGCAAATCTCTCAAACGCCAAATAGTGAAGAGTCTAAGAAAAGACCGAGAGCTCTGGTGGACATCTAAAGCTCAGGAGATGGAGAAGGCTCTTGCTACGGGAAACAGCCGTGCCCTTTATCAACTGATACGATCGACTGGCTCTCGAAAAGCAACGGTCAGCGAAACGATCAATGAAAAAGATGGCTCATTAATTCACTCGCAAAAACGTCGACCGCAGAGATGGGCCGAACACTTCGAAGAGCAGTTCAGCTGGCCTCATGCAACACAACCAGTTGAGGTAATGCATACGGGCGAATGGAATGTAAACCTTGATCGCCCTTCAGAAGAAGAAATAGGGTACGAAATAGCCGTACTGAAACGTGAGAAGGCACCAGGACCGGACGGTCTGTATCCAGCCCTCTTCAAGGAAGGCGGAAATTCCCTGGTGACCCACTTGACAAAACTTATTGGTACTATGTGGGACGAAGAGAAAGTGCCTGCAGAATGGGGC